ATTGTTGAAGCAGAACTGAAACTAAAATCAACCCAATCTGCTAAAGTTAGCAAAACTAGCGAAAAGGCAAATATAGCAAATCAGTTGCCAAACTTAAAGATGCCAAAACTGCAGCTAAAAGCTAAAATTAGACAGAATATGAGCTCGAAGGAGTATAAAAACTGATTAAGTTTGATAAAGTTGATTCAAGAGAACAAGGTTTTTGAAGGAACGGAAGATAATTCAGTATCGATCAATCTTGCAAGCTGTTTTTGTTCTCTTGCTACTTTTTCTTTTAATTATACATTTAATTACCATTTTATTTTCTTTCTTTTCTTTTTTAATGTGTGCATCTTTTTTGATTGTCTATTGTTGTCGTTGTTGTCCACTGTCGTCATCACTCTTTGTTAAAATCAGGTCTCTCTTGTAAATGAGCCCCCGAGGCTCAATGGGACTAACCTGTATAAATAAAGTTTGAATGAATGAAAATATAGCTACAGTATTTATGGGGATTGTTTTTTTGGAAACGAAGGTAAATAACAAAATTAAAATGACAAAGACTGGAAATCTTGGCACCCTCATCCTTAATTAGCTGAATGTTTTTATATACTGTATGAATAGCAAAAATAACACCAAGTATAAGTAAGTAGTTCGACTGCATAAAACATATGGAAAGAACTATAAACAAGCAAACTGTCTAAATGCCGCATGAACATAAGAAAATGTTTTGCATGTTGGGACTCTGTACGAACATTCTGGTTCTTGAAAACATTGTGCGTGCAGCCTAAAGTCAAGAATGATTTCTAGTGAGTACAAATTCTTCTAATTTGTGTGATTTTTGGTCAAAGAAGTCTCCTCCTTTGTTATCAGAAAATAGGAGCAATCACAACAGTCATAGCAATTATTCCAAGTTCAATTCTAAATGTATGGAGAAACAAAAAAAAAAACCCCACAATTGCCTAGTTTGTCATTTTGATTTATTTGTGGCCAACACAGCAATTTACACTGGAAAATTCAACATATGAGGGCTTTGGTGGGAACATGTTATAATTCTAACCTTTATGGCAACAAAAATCACAGTAAGACCATGCATCCATCCCTTATCTTTATCTACTTCCTTTCAGGGTCACTGGTGCCCATATCCAGCCATCACTGTGAAAAAGGCGTGGGACACCCTGGACAAGTCTCCAGTCCATCACAAGGACACAAAGAGACAAACGAGACAACCAACCATTCACTCTCTCACTCACACCTAGAGACAATTTGGAGTTGCCAATCAGCCTAACATGCATGCTTTTGGTATGTGAGAGGAAACCGGAGTACCCGGAGAAAACCCATACATGCACAGAAAGAACATGCTAACTCCACCCTGAAAGGCCCCCAGCCAGGATTTGACCCAGAAACCTGCTTGCTGAGAGGTGGCGGCAGCTCTACCAACTGCGCCACCACAGTAAGAACTAAATATTTAAATGTATACCTACACCAGAGCTGATCTTATTGGATGTGTTAGAAGAATTCTGATTTAGATAGTTGAAGATACACAGAAGCTCTCCATCTTCTACCACTCTCCAGTAGTTGGGTCGATGAGGTAACGGGTCCAGGAGAGAAACCCTCTTCCCAGCAACACTGTCCAGCTCCTGCTGGGGGACCCAGAGGCATTCCCAACAACCCCTCCAGTAAGTTCTGGGTCTGCCTAGGGGCTTTTTCTCAATTGGACATGCTAAAAAAAATCTCCAAAAGGAAGTGTTCAAGAGACATCGAAATCACCTGAACCATCTCAACTGACTCCTTTCAATGTGAAGGAGCAGCCATGCTACTCTGTGCTTCCCCCGGATGATGGAGCTCCTCACCGTCTCTCCAAGGCTGAGCCTCCCTATGAAGGAAGATGATTTTGGCTGCTTGTAGCTGGGTTCTTGCTCTTTCAGTCATGATCCAAACCTCATGACCACAGGTGAAGGTTGGAACATACAAACCAATAAATCAAGAGCTTTGCCTTTTGACTCAACTCTGTCTTCACCACAACAGACCAAAGCAATCACCTCATTACCGAGGATGAGACCCTGATAAGGCAATTCATCTCCCCCTCCATTCTACCATCACTTGGGAACAAGATGCCCAGATATTTAATTTCCTCCACTTGAGGCAAAGACCACCCCACTCTGAACCAGAAGAGGCATTGCACCCACTTCCAGTTGAGAACCATGGCTTGACGTTGGAGGAGCTGACTCTCATCTCAGCCACTTCACACTCTGCTGGGAACCACCTCAGTCACTAACACTAAAAATCATGGTCAGAAGACACCAATAGAAACACATTGTCTGCATAAAGCAGAAATGAACCCCTGATGTTCTCAAACCAGACACCCTCCTCTACATGACTGTGGAGAAGAATCCTTCAACTTTCATTAAATAAAGAACTAGGACCTTCAAAGGATCCTTGGAATTTAAATGGTTCTTTAACAAGATATAACTGAATGAGATTCAAGAAATGTTGCTGTGAAGCATCTGACCTTGACTTTTGAAGTACATAGGAAGCTCTTACTCAGACAGACATAAATCATAAAAAAGAAGTTGTTTCCCAATGAAAACCAATGAACACATCATGAAACATAAAATCTTACAAAGACGACCCAGGACTGTTGAACAGCTAGAGTGCTACATCAATCAAGAACGGGCAACATTCCCCTCCCCAAAGTCCAGAAACTGGTCTAGGGGTGTTAAACTCAGTTATCAAAAGGAGACAAAATTTAAAAACTTTGTCCAAGCCACGGTGCACTTTCAGCTGATACCTAACTCGAGTCAGATACCTGATCTTTTCTTGGTTGCAGGTTCATGAACAAGAGTTTGATGTGTGTCACTTTACGTTCTGTTGATATTTCCACATCAGAATCAATGACAGAATGATCCAACCATCTTTCTGGTTTCAAAGTTTGCCAGCTTGAAAGAAAAGTCTACACCAAATGATGTATTTATCAGTTTTTAAAGAAAAATTTAGAAGAGATACAATATTTTACATTTAAATTATCATCTTGGGGGACCAGATTTGGCCCGTGGCCCTCGAGTTTGACATATGTGAAGATGATGACAGGCTGTGGTTCACAGAGGAGAAGATACTTCAGAGAAGTACACTTGCCACTTTTTAAAGATGTGTTGCCGTCTTCAAAAATCAAAATAACTTTATTTATATACTAGTGTGTATGTGTATAAACACACACGTGTATGTGTATATATATATATATATATATATATATACACACACATATATATACACACAAACGTATATATATATATATATTACACATTATTTAATTTTATGTATATTAAAAATATATATATTACATTTGAAAACATTTTATATATTCAGTGTTCAATTGTGAATAAAACGAGTTTGAGATTTGCAAAGCATTTCATTGTGATTTCCTTTACATTTTACATATTAACATTTTTGCATTGGGATTGTACAAAAACAAATTGTATGTCGAATATATTGTTAAGGCAATTAAGATAAGCTTAAAGGAAAGTCTCTTAAAATATTTCTTATTTACCCTCTCGTGGTATCGAAGACTTTATTGGTGCAAACAATGAATCGTAGTTAGCACGATCATCTTGATACTTTCCGGCAAAGGAATAATAGAAAAAAACCTGTGATCCTGACGCAAACCCACATCATTTATACATCTTCTCTGCTCTCATGAAGAGAAGCACCAAGGATGCAGAAGTGCTGAAGTCTTCTAGGCTCTTGTCACTTTAGGTGAAATACGTCATTACTGGTTTCTGGACATCAGCAGTGCAAACTTACCAGTCATTATTATAACAGTTTGACAGGGTTTGACAATGCATTTCCCCCTTGATATATATATAAATTTTTAATGCAACTAACTCATAAGTTCATTTAGCATGTGCCATGTTTCACATCACATGCTAACCCAGCCCCTCCTCGTTCTCCCAGCCTCAAGCTCACATGGCACTACCGCAAAGTCCAGTTGTCCGTTAGGATGACGACTGAATGCGAACAACAGAGAACGTCTCCCATTTTCTAACACCTGCCCTTAAAAGCTGCAAAGAGAGTGAGAGGAAAGAGAAAAGATGAAGTGTGAGGTGGAAAAAAGGGGAAGTGTTGTGGATAATGGGTGACAGAATGAAAGGAACTGGGTGCAGAGGAGAGTGGGAAAAAATGAACAATAACTGAGGCTGCATGAAAGAAACGATAGTAAGTTTTTACAGGGTTGAAAACGACAACTCACAGACACCATATAATTTAGAAAAATGCTTAGAAGAAACAATCGCATCGTAATAAATAAATGTTTAATACAGGGCGACAGTTATAAGTTGACATCTTAGGAAAATATTTATACAAGATTTAAAAAAATCAACTTTGAACTGTAGGAGTTTCAAGTTCATACTTAAAAAAAAAATAAAAAAAACAGCCTGGTTTTGAGGGAAAAAAAATCTACACACACAAATAAAATGTAACATCACATATAATTTTGGAATGATTAAGGGAGTGGAAATCAATGAAAGGCCTCAATGAGAGTATTCCATCAACAGGAATAAATTAAAAAAGGCCTGCTTTGGAGGAACTTCCAGATTGCAAAGTATTTTTTTTAAAGTGCAAAGCTGAAAATAAAATAAGACATTACAGAGCTCCACTCAAAGATCCAACATTCAGAATTCAAAATCATTTGACATCATTTTACAAAAGCAAAACTTTTTTTTTTAACCTTTAAAAGGCTGTGATTAAAATTAAATAACAGTTGGATAGCAATGATGAAAAGCACCATGTTTGTAGTCTTTTAAGACATCTTTGCAACCATCAAAACCAACTATTTAATAGTGGAAAACCTATTAAAACATAAACAATAGAAAAACTCCACTTATCTTTTATTAAGTCCATACACAACTGTGTACATTAACTTAAATATCCTCTTAAATGAAACTCTCGTTCTCAGCTGGAGCAACAAACAGATCATTCGATGGAAGGTTGTTGATGCTGAAGCTGATCACAGTTTCTTTTCTCGCTGCTTTCCGTTCCCGTTATGTCGCGCTCACATGTATCTGTTCTTGACGTACTCCCGGTACATCAGCATGTCGTCCCTACACAGCGCCCTCACCTGGCCCTGACCCGCCATCACGTGGCTCTCAAACACGTCACGACTGTCTCTGTCCACCTGTGGAACAGAAACCGCGTAGACGCCGTCGGTTGGGAAGCGTGAGACCGGTACCCTAGACGAAGAAAAAAGGAGAGGGGGAACCAATGGTAAGAGAAAAGTGCTTAAAGACCTGTTTTGTCATTAAAAAAAAAAGACTAAAAGCCTGTTTTGTTTTGTTTTAATCAAAGAAAGGATTTCTGTCTTTAAAAAACGCAAAGAAAACTATTTTTATCTGAGCAGCACAACAAAATGGTGTGAAAACCTGCTGCTCATAGCAGCCCTGGTAATGGAAGAAACACGAGGATGGTTGGAGACGGGTGTTTTTACAGCAGAATTACTCATGTTTTCTCAGAAACTAAACACTAAATCATGTCTCTTCATCGGCAGAATGGATTAACAACTGCATGCTTGTCAGGTTGTCCACTCAGCCGGACCGTTTTACAGCAGCTGGGGATCGGAGAGCTACATTACAGCTGCGCCTCGTTGGCAGTGAGCTGTTTGGAAGCCTTGGCAGATGTTCTAGTAGACAGAAGAAGCCTTGAGATAAATATTGATTTGAGTTTTTCATGCTTTGACTAGACGTATGAAAGAGATTAGTCAGCTGCCGACTGAGAGCAAAAACTTACAAACCTAACCAAAAGATGAGCAGTTCCAAGTCTGCACCTCAAAAATGAAACAAAAACGTATAAAGTCGCACTACGTCTTTAAAACAAAACGTCACGTGTTCACTTTGTGTGCTTTTTGAGCCAAAGAATATTATATTTAATGACCCAATTATTCTGTTCAGATAATCACAATTAAATTCAATGTGTCATGTGGTTAGTGCCTCGCAACAATCTGAATGTCGGTCTTTTTGATTTTCAGCAGGCATGTGAGGATTTTCTCCAGGTACCACAGTTTGGTTGAGACGTGGGTGAAGAAAAATATATGAATGAAGAAAAATCGTGAGGTTACTGTAGACCAGGTTTAGAAAAAATGCCTTGGCAATTTAAATGATTAGGAGCAGGAAACATATAGATGTTTTATATTTGAAATGACAAAATATATTGCTTTTCTTTCAGCTGCTCCATGTTCAGGGGCCACCATAGCAAGTCATCCTCCTCCACCTCACTCTGTCCTCACTAACTACCTCCACGTCTTTTCTAACTGCATCCATATACAGTGCCTTGCAAAAGTATTCGGCCCCCTTGAACTTTTCAACCTTTTTCCACATTTCAGGCTTCAAACATAAAGATATAAAATTTTAATTTTTTGTGAAGAATCAACAACTAGTGGGACACAATCGTGAAGTGGAATGAAATTTAATGGATGTGTCAAACTTTTTTAACAAATAAAAAACTGAAAAGTGGGGCGTGCAATATTATTGGGCCCCTTTACTTTCAGTGCAGCAAACTCACTCCAGAAGTTCAGTGAGGATCTATGAATGATCCAATGTTGTCCCAAATGACTGATGATGATAAATAGAATCCACCTGTGTGTAATCAAGTCTCCGTATAAATGCACCTGCTCTGTGATAAATGCACCTGCTCTGTGATAGTCTCAGGGTTCTGTTCAAAGTGCAGAGAGCATCATGAAGACCAAGGAACACACAGGCAGGTCCGAGATACTGTTGTGGAGAAGTTTAAAGCCGGATTTGGATACAAAAAGATTTCCCAAGCTTTAAACATTCAAGGAGCACTGTGCAAGCAATCATATTGAAATGGAAGGAGTATCAGACCATTGCAAATCTACCAAGACCCGGCCGTCCCTCTAAACTTTCATCTGGAACAAGGAGAAGACTGATCAGAGATGCAGCCAAGAGGCCCATGATCACTCTGGATGAACTGCAGAGATCTACAGCTGAGGTGGGAGAGTCTGTCCATAGGACAACAATCAGTCGTACACTGCACAAATCTGGCCTTTATGGAAGAGTGGCAAGAAGAAAGCCATTTCTCAAAGATATCCATAAAAAGTGTTGTTTAAAGTTTGTCACAAGCACCTGGGAGACACACCAAACATGTGGAAGAAGGTGCTCTGGTCAGAGGAAACCAAAATCAAACTGTTTGGCCACAATGCAAAACGATATGTTTGGCGTAAAAGCAACACAGCTCATCACCCTGAACACACCATCCCCACTGTCAAACATGGTGGTGGCAGCATCATGGTTTGGGCCTGCTTTTCATCAGCAGGGACAGGGAAGATGGTCAGAATTGATGGGAAGATGGATGGGACCAAATACAGGACCATTCTGGAAGAAAACCTGTTTGAGTCTGCAAGAGACCTGAGACTGGGACGGAGATTTATCTTCCAACAAGACAATGATCCAAAACATAAAGCCAAATCTACAATGGAATGGTTCACAAATAAACGTATCCAGGTGTTGGAATGGCCAAGTCAAAGTCCAGACCTGAATCCAATCGAGAATCTGTGGAAAGAGCTGAAGACTGCTGTTCACAAACGCTCTCCATCCAACCTCACTGAGCTCGAACTGTTTTGCAAGAAAGAATGGGCAAGAATTTCAGCGTCTCCATGTGCAAAACTGATCGAGACAAACCCCAAGAGACTTGCAGCTGGAATTGCAGCAAAAGACGGTGCTACAAAGTATTAACGCAAGGGGCCGAATAATATTGCATGCCACACTTTTCAGTTTTTTATTTGTTAAAAAAGTTTGACACATCCAAAAAATTTCATTCCACTTCACGATTGTGTCCCACTTGTTGTTGATTCTTCACAAAAAATTAAAATTTTATATATTTATGTTTGAAGCCTGAAATGTGGCAAAAAGTTGAAAAGTTCAAGGGGGCAGAATACTTACGCAAGGCACTGTACACTGCCTGGCCAAAAAAAAAAAAAAAGTCACCACCTGGATTTAACTAAGCAAATAGGTACAAGCCTCCTATTGGAGAATTACTGCATGGGCGATCTTTCAGCTGGCAACAAGTTATTTAACCCCATCTGGTGCAATGAGTTGCTTCTCATTTCTTAAACAACCATGTTAAAAACACATCACGTGGTCGTAGAAAAGATGTCAGTCTGTTTGAGAAGGGTCAAATCATTGGCATCAAGCAGAGAAAACATCTAAGGAGATTGTAGAAATGACTAAAATTGGGTTAAGAATTGTTCAACACATTATTAAAAACTGGAAGGATAGTGGGGACCTATCACCTTCGAGGAAGAAATGTGGCCGGAAAAAAATCCTGAAAGATCGTGATCGGCGATCACTTAAACGTCTGGTGAAATCAAATCGAAGAAAAACAACAGTAGCTCTCAGGGCTATGTTCAGTAGTGAAAGTAAGAGCATTTCCACATGCATCATGTGAAGGAACTCAAGGGATTGGGACTGAACAGCTGTGTAGCCTTAAGAAAACCACTAATCAGTGAGGCTAATTAGAAAAAAGACTTCAGTTTGCTAGGGAGCATAAAGATTGGACTCTGGAGCAATGGAAGGAGGTCATGTGATCTGATGAGTCCAGATTTAGCCTGCTCCAGAGTGATGGGCGCATCAGGGTAAGAAGAGAGGCAGGTGAAGGGATGCACCCATCATGCCTAGTGCCTGGTCATCGATGCAAGAGCTTGGTGAAAAATTAATGCAACACTAGATGGAAATAGATCTTGGGACATTGCAGAAGCTTATTGAAACAATGTCACAGTGAATGCTGCTGTAATCAAAGCTAAAGGCGGTCCAACGAAATAGTAGTGTGTGACCTTTTTTTTTTTTTGGCTAGGCAGTGTATCTCCTCTGTCTTCTTCCTGGCAGCTGCATTTCTAACATCCTTCTACCAATATACCCACTGTCCCTCCTCTGGACATGTCCAAACCATCTCAGTCTGGTCTCTCTAACTTTATCTCCCAGTTGTTCAACCTGTGCTGTACCTCTGATGATCTCATTCCTAATCTTATCCATCCTTGTCACTCCTAAAGGAGGACCTCAACATCTTCAGCTCTGAAACCTTCGTCCATTCACTCCATTTTGCCAGGACTCTCTTCTTCACCTCTTGACCACTGTCCCCATTTTCCTGGATTTTTTTTTTTTACCTCAGACTTTAATTGCTATTGTCTACCAATCTTAAGACTGTGAGGTTAACGGGCATAAACTGAGTCAAAAAGACAACTTCTCTTTAACGTCTTTGACGGAACAAAAAATATAATAATAATTCAAAACAAAATAAAGACCATTGTGAGGGTAAAATTAATTCTTAAAATTAACCAACTTTAACTAGACTTTGAATATTCAAAAAAACAATTGACCATTCCTAGTTTAACAAGCTTTTTACAACAAGTAAGATATTAACAACTTGTAATTTTAACTACATCAAGAACAAAGACAAAAATAAAATGCATTTTTACACCTTAGGGTTGCCTCTCAACAGGAATTAGCTACATTATCCACATCCTTTCTGCTTTTATCTCCTACAGTTGAGTAAGTTTATCCGTTTCATGATAAAACAAGACAGAAGCTTCATAGCAGGAGGGGGCAGAATATGGACCCCTAACAGTGGCCACACATTTGGTGTGTTCTACTAAGAATAACACTGTTGCATAACAACCACCGCACCTGTCGTACCTCGTGGACCTGACTGGGGGACCAATGAACACCCAGAGTGAGAAAAGGTAAAAGCATTGGAAGAGACAGAAATGTGCAAATTAAATAAAAAAAGGAACAAAATATCTCACAATTTCTTGTTAATTGGAATCCCATAAAGTTTGCTATGTGAAACTGTAGAAAAATGGGAAACATGCAAACAAATAAAGGTCAATCTTTTTATGTTTTGGAGGAATGCATATCACCTACCGTCTTTCATGCAAGAATTTCAAGATCTTGCATTGAAAAATTAGTTTTAGTCTTTTTGTTTGCACCTTATAAAAAGCGAGCAATCAGTGGGATGTTTTCCAGCAGCAGGAACTGGTAGACCAGTCAGGAAAGAGAGACAGATGAATGCAGCAATGTACAGAGACATCCTGGATGGAACCAAAATCATGTCCTATCAACTGAATTTATCCCAGGTGGACTCTGTTTAAGTTGTAGAAACATCTCAAGGACGATCAATGGGAACAGGATGCATCTGAGCTCAATTTGGAGCTTCATGGCAAAGG